AGAATGGGTGACTTTTTTTCCTCCATCGTGCTAATGGAAACAGGCAGTGCACACATTGCCACAGAAAACAGACGCAGCTGGCGTCAGCGCATTTCTTACACTCAAAGTACTGTTTTAAGATTTTCCCAGAGAAAAGATGTGGAAAGCAGGGCTAAACGGCTTTACACAGTGTTAATGGGCTGCTGCGTGAGAAGTGCCAGGTACCAGACTCCTCAGAAAAATGGGCCTTATTCAACTCCAATAATTCTAGCAACTTTGTCCCTTCCTAAAATGAGCGTCGCCCAAAGTAGTCATTTCATCGAGCACATTGTCAATCACCAAAATTCTTTCATGTGGTGTTCATTTTATAGAAAAATAGCACATCTCTTCGTGTAAATCATAAGTATTTTTGACAACCGAACCAAGGTACTTAAGCATTTCAATCCCTTTCATAATTTTTCAGTTGTGTTTTTCTGTGTTCTCTTACCCTGCAGCCATGTTTAGGTTGTGCATGTCTATGCAAGACATAATACAGTCGGTGCAAACTGTTGGAGAAAAGGCTGCTTACATGGTAGTTTCTTTCAGCACGCTTCTAGTGACATGCTGGATTGATTTGAACGCTCTGTGGTAAATACGGTCATTTTATATATTGAGAGTCCATCTGTATACTGCGTGTCCTCCACAATCGGAGTATATGTGTGTTGAAGGATGCAGCCTGACTCTTATTTTGAAATGCTCCGTGGCCAACCCAAGATTTTGGAGTAAATAATGGATTTTAGCCCAAAGCATGGCACCAAAAAGCCCCTGGTTTATATCTTTTGTGAGACACTGGAGTTCTGATGTTTTCCAAGCGCTCCAAAAATTTCTGGGCAATATTTCTACCAAAATTTCAAACCTGTAGTTTCTGATGGCAACTGGTCTGCCACCGCATCGCACCTGGTGTCCCGAACATAAGGTTATCGCGTAAAATCTGTATGTCTGTTAGCAGCGTGTGTGCCTTGCAGTAAATGCGTTTTAGAGCCGTAATGTCTAGTTAACAGCGTCGAACGCAGTTGCCACTCGTCTGTGCAGCAAACTGGTTTTATTACATAACTATGGATGCATTTGCAGCTGGGTCCTAGCTAGGCAAAACAGATGCTGTAAGATATAAAAGGATTAAACTGCCTATATTACATGCCCAACATTTTGCTAAGTATTTTACGTAGCATCATCTGGCACACATTAATTATGTTATATTACTACTGTTTTAGAAAACAGGAGTTATAAATAAGAAGCTATTTTTGTCCTGCTGCTTTGAACTTGGAGCAAAATGTTAATACTGACAGCAGCATGTAAAGTTTAATATTTATCATTAAGTGAAAGCCTAAACAATTACGTGAGTGATGTCTGCTGTCTTTCCAAGGGTCCTTACCAGCAGGAGTTGACATCTGAAGGTCCCCACTGAAGTATGAGAATCTCCAGTAAATTGGCTGATGGCAGCTTTTACTGTGCACTGAAGAGTACTTTAACTGCAAAGCCAAATTAATCACAGATAAAAATAGCAGGCTGCTTAGTTCTCTTTGTAAAATCAGAAATAGTAAAAAAAATTTTTCATGAAGCTGAATTTTCTCCAGATTAAAGCCGAGAGCTATATAACCAGTGATGGTACTCTCAGATCAGAGGTTTTTCATATTGTAATAGAAATAACTGAAATTAAAACTTAAAAATGAGGACACCTCTTACTACAGAAAAACTGTAATGGAAATTATTCTTTAAAGAAAATGAAAGACATTCAAGTCAGTCCTAGAATCTCATCTAGTCTGAAGCTACATCATTCCTCTCATGTACATGAAGTACCTCAGTGCATTAACTTCCTGGACCTCGATGTCCTGTATCCACTTAGCTATGTTACATATGTATCACATACGGTTCTGTGGCCTCTAAAACCATTCATTTCAATGAATTGAATTCATTTGAATTCATTAATATATTCGTTCTCACAACACAGTGGAGAAGTATCGTCCCTCATTTTAAGATTATGAACGGAAAGAATAAATAATTACCTTGGGAATCTGTAACAAAACAGCAGTCAAATTTAACATGAAAAGTCCTTTGTTTATCATCTTAATTTGGGTGCTTTTATAACTCTGACAAGTAATATTTGGATGAATATGTACAGTAACTCACATTAGAAGCAGGCTTAGAAGTTAATTTGACTTTATTTGAACAGAACACGGTCATCTAGAAAACAAGCTAACTCTTTTGTTTTTTAAACACTGACAGATGCAAGAGACAGCACAGGTATTACTGGAGAAGTAGTTTCATTATCTCTTAAACTACTTAGAATAACAAAACACATTACAATTTATTAGGACAATCTATTTGTGAATATTTGCCCTAACAAGTTCTATCATGCACTCAAGTGAGATATAAACTATCCAGTCTTTTAAGTTTACTAACGTCGTAGTTTGCAAACAATTTGAAAACTCTGTCACCTTCCACAGCACCACATGAAGTTCTGGTGTTAAAATAACATTTAATCCACAGCAATAGCTAAATATGTGAAATACTTATGTAGTATGCTAAACTCTACGTAAACTCTACGTACACCAAAAAAAAACATACAAAGAACAGGAAGATCATTTTGATTAGCAGACAAATGTATCGCCAAAATAATTTTTCTGTTCTTACGACTTATCCCCAAACCACTCCCAGAAAAGGCACAGATAGTGGTGATTTTTTTTTATTTTTTTTTTTTTAAAACACACAAAGCCAGACCCAACACAATAGGCCTATGCAAACGCCACTGTTTCTAGGAGAAACAGGTCAGGAACTTGCATTAGTGTAAGGATGTCCCAGGAAGATTCTAGTCAGTAAAAGATCTCCAGCATCTGCTTACTGTCCCAGGTTCAAATGCAGAAAAGAATCAGAAATTTAATTTAGTTTAGCAGAACTGTACAGCTTGTATGTGAGTGCCAGCTAGAGTTATTTGCCTGTTCCAAGGCAGTACTGAGGCTCGTCTCACAATCAGCTATTAATGGCGCTCAGTAGAGATGGTGTTTTTTAAATTAAATGGGTAATTACTGTTCAAAGATTATACTCAGAGACAATACTTTTCTTTGGGTAAACAAAACCTTTAAATAAGTAGATCTTTTAAAATGCAGTGTAATTAAATGTCTCACAATGCTTCTAATACATAATGGATCAGAAAATTATTTATATTATTCCGACTTTTGATTGTTACAGTATATAAAACGTTCTCCTTTACCAGCAAATGATGCAGTGTTTGGCAAAGTGCTATTGGTAATTCTACAAAGAAAGATCCAAATATATTTGTTATCCCCTCTTTGTTAGAAACAGAAGCATTTAAGAAAAAATATTCTATTAAATCTATATCCTAAGCTATCTAATAATACTTCTACTAGTACACTAAACCAGTTGTCTTGTGTGACTTATATACATTGATGAACTCAGGTGCTCTGATGGTTTCCTAGAAGACAAAGCATTGCTGGAGTTGATCATGTTTTGTTTCCGGTGGTCTTTGAGAAGTTAGAAAAAACCTCCATTTTGGCATTGCTGCTTTTAGGGCATATTCCAAGTACTTGCATAACCATCATTAGTGATCTAGAAATCTGCAAAAGATGCCAATACACTGCATTTGTGGTATCAAAAAGCAAGAGGATTGAGCACTGAATTTTTTACATAAGAATGGAGCTTGAGGTATTTATACAACCCTTTATGATGGAGATTAATCTTACCCATTGCGTGTCGTCTGCAACTCTTCAGGACTTGTTACATGAAGTATCATCCCTATGTTAGTATTTGGAAGATCTGCTGTCACACAAGGTGCAAATAAAACTCAGTCTAACTGTTATTAGCTATAAAATTTGAATACTAACAAAGTACAGCCCAAGTTCAGTACAAAAGACTAAAACAATTGGCCTGCAGTGAGACTTGGAAAAGGAATGAGCAGGTCCCACAGCCTGCGCAGAACCCACAGCACCCCACACCGCCGGCTGCACGGGGCTTGAGGGCAGTACATCCACGCCAGCTGCAGCACGCACCCCCCAAGCCAGAGTCCTTCCACTGTTCTCAACATTGCATCTCACATCAACGAGCTCAGAAATGGGTTTTGTTGAGACTAAGGGTAATTCCTGGCCGTGTTGACAGAAGTACGTTTTATCAGTCAGAAATGTTTGGGGTAAATTAAAAAAACAATAAAACACCATATGGATTCCCTCCATTTCTTTACATGGTCACACCAAATCCTGTAAACATCAGATATCCTTTGGGGTAAAAAAACATCCCCCAAACCAAAGGCTACCAGATAGACACAATCCAGGGTCAGCACCAAGGGGCTGGATCACCCATGTCACAGTTTGAAATTCCACAGGTAAGGCCTCTCATTTAAGCATGTCACTCAAGTGAGCTTTTCACTTTGCTTTGGTAACTGAAAGGGTGCAAAATAATTTTTAGTAACTTGTGTCCATCTCCTCTATTAACTCCAGAGCGTTTCTTTTTCAGAACTAGAAGAGACTTTTGTTAGTCTTAAAACCACATTATTTTGCATTCACTATAGGGCCAATCATAATTACAAAATTATTGTAATTTCTAATTCATGCGCAAGCACCATGTTTTCTCCAGGAGTTAACTGGTTAGTTTTCTGGACTGTTGTCTGTCAGGGAAGAGAACTGAATTCTCTGGGGAAGTATCAGCAACACTACACTAAATACAAAACACCTCAATTTCCTTTCAGGTTTAAGTGTAAGGCAGTCACCATGGCCTAAAATCATGCACTATTTCATTTACCTATTTGTATTTTCACAAGCTGTCTTAACATTTTCACGTGGCCTTTGTAAAATGTCTTTCTAGTTTGTGTGAATAGAGCTAGTGTTACATGATTCATTTCTTAGAAAACACATGCACTCATGAAAGGCTATAATGAACACGTTTGCTACAGGGCATGTTTAAAACACTACTGCTTGCAAGACCATCAGTTTGACATAGCCTGTTACAGAAGAAAATAGGCCAAAATGAAAACCTGGCATGCCAGCACACGTTAAGTCTGTATTTGTGATTTTTCAAACTTAGGAGCCCTTTTCACTACTTCAAAAGGAAACCCCACACATACACACAACATTCTAACACCGTATTTGTTCTTTACCAGCTAACATATACCTTGTTTTAATGGTTTAAAACGATTAAATCCCTCAAGGTTGTGCATATCCAGGCACTGCTGAGGAAATAAAGACACCCATCACTATTCTTAAATTTTATTCCGCAATAAAAAATAGAAGATGAAAGAAATAGAGTGTTCAAGAATTAAAGCAATTATTGGTCAATGTAAGGAGCAGTGAACTAATTATCTGAATGACAATTAAGGACCTGGTTCGTCAAAAGTAATTCTGGGTCCTCCATGGCATAGTTGTAGGCTTCTACAAAACAGAAATCCAGATTCTCTTTTACTGAAGCAGGTCCTTTATTATCTACAGAACACTTGATTTCGTATTCTATTTATCCTTCTCTTTTTGTTCTTTTTCCTTCTTTTCACGTTCAGCTTTTGCTTCCTCCTCCTCATGTTGTTTTATCAACTGTTCCACCTCCTTTTGCTTCAGAACCCTTATTACTGTCTTTCCGTTCTCTCTGGTCAGGGTTGCAATTTCAACTGAAACATATGGAACAGACAGCGGCGTTACATTTTCTCCTTTAGACAGAGCAATCATCAGAAGGGCAAGATTTGTGGCTGCGGCTGACAACCTCCAGAGAAGAGCTGGGCTGGCAAAGCTGGTGGCAGCAGCCCTCCTCTGCAGCAGCAACACCTCACCGGGGCCCCTTCCACCAGGCACGGAGCCGCAGCTGCCACCGCGCCAAGGCCTACCATCCCCGACCCCTGGGCTAGCCCCCGGCTGGCCGAGAGGATCCTCCTCTGCGAAGCTATCTGTGTGCCTCTGGGAAAGGCGAAGGCCGAGAGCTGCTCCATCTTCTAAACACACTTTTCACATGACAACTAAAAATGCAGTAAACCACAGCTAGCGGTTATACACTCGCTACATTTTCTTTTTTTTGAAGCAGAGGATGTTATCCCATATTTGCGAACTGCTTACCTTTCTCTGCAGAGAGTTTGCTGACATCCATGGTTTTGTTTAGAACCTTAATGGCTAATGCAAGTGCAGTCTTTAAGGTCATTTCGCCTTCTTTGTAGTCTTGCTTTAGCATTGACACTGCTGCCTAGAAATGTCACAGAAATTAAAATGATCTTTAAGCAACCAACCACCCAGTTGTGGTTTTTGCCAGAAAATATCAATACGTGAGTACAAGCAGTGTTCCTACAGTTACCCGTTTCTGCTCTGCACTAGTAATCCACAACTCAGTTCAATTACTACAGTGCAATTTACACAGTATTCTTTTTTGCTTGACTTTTTGAGAGGAAAAAACCCCCGAACTTACAGCACTGTTATTCCCAATGCACGTCGCTTTCCACCCTCCATAATTTCCACTAGGGTCACTTTGATACAGCTGAAATCCGTAATGCTTATCCCAGCCAATATACAGCAATGAAACACCGAAAGGACGTTTTCCTGTTGAAAAGAAGGCTATTAGTAATCTAAATTTAGTAACAGGATTGGTCATGACTGATGATTACTTTCTTTGATTTCCTTTTTTAAATCTGTTCCTGTGAACTAGGACTGAACAGACTGTTCGGCACTTCTGTTGCTTGAGATAAGCACGCCAGCATTTCTTTCCAAGTCATGGAGGGGGGCTGAGGGGAGCAGAAGAGAGGTTTATTTCGTTTAACCTTAAGAGCAGCTCATTTCTGTCTCCACAAATTGTAATTTATAATCTCAGGACTTTAAATCAAAACTTAATATTTAAAGTATGTAGCTTAGCTGTTAAAGTGTATAACTGAACAGTGTCAAAAGCTAGGTACATAAAAAGGTCATTCTTTCACACTACATTATGTAAAATACCAGAATTATCAGTTCACCTACTAATGAACACTACTTGGAACACTTTCTAAGGTGTTGCTTGATCCACAGAAGTACTGGTTTTTAAAGGGCTACAGTATCGATACCCCTGCTTGTCATCGCCTTTGTGATTCATTGTGCTGTTACACTGGATGGGCCCAACATGTTGAAAGATTACCTACGAAACAATTCTCCGCTGGTCTTCTGAAGGCATTCACTAAATCCAAGAGCACTCGGAGCGTTCTATGCAACAGGCCAGACTCTCGGCCATCAGCTTCTCAAGTACCAAAAAGTAGCACCTTCAGTAGCAAAACGGTAACCATGACTACCCATTCCCCTCTTGCATCTGGCTGTTGTCTTCCCCGGTGTAACCTGTTACAGCAGGATCTGGTAGCACTGCCCAGAGACTCGGCTGCTTCACGTGATGTCACAGAATCTTTCTTTAGACATTTGAAAGCATAGTGGTTCGTCACACCCGATTACCTCCAAACTGCGTATAAGCTTGCTTGATATCACACAGTGCGGTTACCAGTTGTTCACAAGGAATGGGCTCCTGATACTGCAACAAATACCTAATGCAAAAGAGAAAACAGTCTGCAAAACTTGTTCTGCTGACAGTATCCTGTACCGCGTTAAACAGGAACCAAGTTCCGAAGTTAGAGCCCCTTTCATCTAGCTGGTTTATGTCAAACAATCTACTTCTGCTCTACTAAACGCATGTTCATGTTGATTTAATGCATAAACAGAACCGAATCTGACAGCACGGGCAACTAAAACCGTGGTAACTCTCCGCAGCCTTACCTCTGCGCAATCAGTCTCAGTTCATTTGTCAGAACATTGGCATCAGAAGTTATTCCTGCAACACTGCAAGCCATATCCCTGCAATGCAAGCACACAAATTAAATGGGTTCCTATCTATTTCCAACCAATAGTCATGTCCTCATACAGCGCTTCGCGCAGGACACCTGCTGTTGGGCTTTTCTGATCAAAACTACGCAGCTGCCATATAAAATAGGTTCATCAGCTCCTGCCTTCAGGGTACACGAGAAATACTACGTAGCATTTTGTAAGAGCAGAGGTGGACAGCACAAGCAAGCGGGTCAATATGTCAGTCATACACACAGTTCTGAGCAGAGGGGATTAAGTCCTGAGTGTCTTGGCAAGAGCCATGAGCTGCATCCGAGCACCTGTCTGGAGGCCGCCTGACCACACACCCCAATGCTGAAGGAGCCAAACTGACAGGAGAGGCCTTGAGTGGGCCTTTGGGTAACCTAGATATCTTGATTTGAGCATAAGAAAAATAAGCGCCTCATGTCCTTCATTTCATTAAGATCTCTTTTGCCCAACCTGATACTGCTACAAAGCTTTCGCTACACAGAAAGGACTCATGAAAAATAATGTGGGTTATTTCTTCCAAGTGAATTTAAGATTTTTTTCAGGAGATGGCAGGGCTGGCCTAGGCGCCTACTCCGGTGCACTGTTACACAGCCTCCCTGAAAATCCAGTGCTTCCGACAGCTCTGGCTGCTTTCAGGATGAACACAGAACGGAGGCCGACAGGATGGGAAACTGTTTGTGCTGCACATGCACCTCCTGACAAGGATGAAGCTCTACCTCCCTCATAGGCAAGGGAGCATAATCCGTAACACTCTGCACTCTGACATCACAAATTTAACTTTGAGAGGTAAAAGAGAAGTCATAACAGAGAGACGTATCATCTCTGCTACAGCTGTGGCAAAGAAACCTAAGGTGTGTTTTACCTAATGATCTTGCTGTCTGAATCACAAAAGGAAACAAAGGCGTAGAAGAGGACACTGAGCTGACACAGCAGAGTGGTTTTTGTGCGCATTCTTTATTCTGCCCCCCCAAATGGTATTTTGTAAAACTGAGAATTCCCAGTTTTCCCCGAGTGCTGCAATAACATCACCTCTGTATGAGGAAGTACCAACAAAGAGGCTATTCCACCTAGGCAATTCTCTTAGACGCTAAAAAAAAAGGGACACTTCTACCTTTGAAAGAGAACTACTGAAGCAAACAACAGCAAAATAGTCACACCTGTCTAAAACACTGAGCAAAAAGAATACTAACACTTCAAATAAAAACAAGTTCAGCGCTAAAAGCATTTCGCTACCGATAATGTCACTGGACATCTAATCATCATTTCAACTTACTCATTCAGTTTGTATATTTTCTCCGAGAAGAACACTTCATCAAGAAGCTTGTGAATGTTGCGTCTCTCTGCTGCTAGCAAAACACCGTCGTTTGCCAGAATTCCCAAGCAAGTACCTGCATGTCCAATTGCCTCCATTGCATACTCAACCTGGTACAAGCGACCTAGGGAAGGATTTAAATGAGCAACATCAAAAAAATAACACTGAACAAGACCGAGTACGCAAGGTGACTTAAATCTGCAAGAATCTGAGAGCAGCTCATTGTACAGCCTGGTCTTACTTCTTCAGCCTATTACCAGCTGACAGTAAATTAAGTGGTTATAAAGAAAGGAGGGGTCATAGAAGGAAAATCCCCAAATATGATAAGGTAATACAGGGCATTACCAACACAGAAAAAAACCCCTCTCTCTAAAAAAACAAAAACCACGAACCACTCTGCTGCAGTAGAATGAGCCAAAATGGATTTTCAATAATCAAGTATTTGATGCTAGACTTTGAGTCCATCCCATCTAAGAAACAGGAAAACACGGCTTGTACATACACGTTGGAGCACGTGTAAGGATAACAAGGGGGGGGGGTGGCACCAGCAGGATACTGTGCATTCCCGGTGGGAGGGGAGGCACAGAAACAGAATCCGTCTGCACTCAAACAAGACGAAGGGTGAAGGTTTGCTCAAGTTTTGTCAGAAACGTGGCAGGTGGTGTTACTTGCTGACAGGACACGGTCTCATTATTGCCTGGATTGGAACAAACATGGAAGTTTCCACTGTGTACCCTCGGTGTCCTTACGGCACTGGGCACTGCTGGGAGCAGGTCAAGGGGGTTTCTGTAACCCGTGTGCAGATGGAAACACGCCACAACCAGCCAACCCCTGCACAGGCAGTTCGTTACTCAGCTTTGAGCAGCTGGACGGAACAGTCAGGGTTTACTTGAAAGCGCGGGATGAAAGAAATACCTTCTGGAGAAAATATGGTCGTTCTGGAGTCGTATCTTCGAGACTGCAGAAAGC